TGACAGGCCATGGGCTTTCCACAACATCGGGGGACAAAAGCACGTTGCTCCTTGAAATAAAATCTGATTTCTCATCAAGAGTGCCTGACTTAGTTGATAAAATCACAGAATCTTGTGACCCACAATGCGGTGCCCATAAGCCCCTTGATCTTAAATTACCCCCCAAGGAATATGTACTTATTTAAAAGGACACAAACCTCTAACTTACCTTGTGATTCCCGCGTGAGGTCCACCGTCGCCTCTGCTACACCGATGCCGGTTATAACACACAACACACCAAGGAGCATGGTAGCCTCTTTTAATGGATGCATTCAGTGCTATTGCGGTTATTTGTTATAATTCCGCTTCACTTTCACCCAACAAGGTCACCGAGACCACCCCCGCTCGGAGTGGCAACCGGGAGTCGACTGTCTCGCGTGTGCTGGCTTTGGGTGCAGGATGGGGTTGATGATGCCACTTGTAATTAGTGATCTCGTCATAATTGTTTGCTGGTTGGGTGACGTGCCAGGGCATAGTGCAGGCCGAGGGGGTGACCGGATTCATGTGGGGTGGTGTTTGCGTTGGTTTGATGCCGCGGTTGCCCGTGTGTCTGGCTTGCTGTGTGGGTTTTGTATCAATGTGTTTGTAACTACATCTCGTCACAAGTAGCAGATGGCAACACTCGGTGGATGGAGGCAGAGAAAGAGGGAGAGCGACAGATAAGGGAGATAGAGAGTGGGAGAGAAAATCCACAGGTGGATATTTAGTAATACGAAAAAAAGCCAAGTAGTTTCCCAATGGATTTATACGTTTAATCTTTACATAGCTTTTAATCAAGTACTTATTTCTTTGCAGTAGAATTGATTAACGCGATATATTTAATTTTCTGTGTTCTTCCACTGTATCTAATGCGTGAAGTGGATAGACTTAGCCTTTGTGAGAGTGCAACTTCGGAATCAAAACAGATCTGCTCTTTGCATTAGCTTGTCTCTTTGTAAGTGCCATTTATATCTGTAGTTTATAAACTATTACGCAATTCACTTGACATTTCCAACAAATATCTGTAAGATAGACGCACTCTGACCCGTTCATCAAAATCACGGTCAAAAAATGAAAATAAAGACAGAAATGCTGAAATAAAAATAAAACATGATTTTAAGTATCGGCGGCGTGCAGTGCTGACCTCACGGGAGGGGGAGTGGCGAGGCAGGGGAGGGAGGCATGGAGTGCATGAGGAGCAGCGCAGGGCAGGGGGGCGTGGCAGGGCAAGGGAGGGCCAGGCGGAGGAGGGGCGGGGGCACAAGTCCACGTCACGATGCGTCACAGACAAGGATGGAGTGGAGGTTCTATCGCGATGCAGGCGGTGGCGGCTCAGTCTGCCCGCAGGCCGGCGGCCCACAGATGGCGGTGCGGCTGAAGGTGCGCTCGGCGGGCGTTGGAACTGTTGTGTGTGTGTGTGCGTGTGTGTGTTTGTGTGTGTGTGTGTGTGTTCGTGTGTGTGCATGCGCGCGTGTGTGTGTGCGTGTGCGTGCGTGTGTGTGTGAAAATACAAGCATCTGATTTTTTGTCAGGCAGATCCCCCCATTCTTCGGAACCAATGATGATGATGATATCAGTAATGGTAATAATAATTATAATGATGTTAATAAAACAAAATAATAAAGATAATAATAACAACAAAAAAACAAATAAGGATAATGATAGTATTGGTGATACTGATAATGAAAATAATAATGATAACCACAACAACAACAAAAACAGCAACAACATCAGTTATAAGGATAATAATGGTAATGGTAATAGATAATGGTAATGATAATACGAATAGTAATGGTAATAATAAAGGTAATGGTAATGGAATCAGACAGAATACTAATAGAATAGCAGCAACAGCAACAATATACTGCAACACAACCCAATAATAATACAATACAAGACTTGTAGGCTGCCGTGAACAGAAGTCCAGTTCAGTTCACTCGGGTTACCTTCACTGGCAGAAGCTCCTCGTGACCAACACTTTTTTGTTTTCATTATTTTACATTTTAGGGATGAGAATTTGAGTTCTATTGGGAATTGGAATTACTTTTCTTATATGTTTTCTAACATTTGTGATAAGGCGTTTCAACTGAAAGATATTTTGATAATGGTTTTCCTCCGTGTTCATTGTGTCAGGTTTGCGCCCAAATGTAGCGTCAGAATCTATGAATTTGATTTTGATCTTGGATTTTTTTTTCAGAAAGGGTTAAACTCCGGCTTTGTAGCGGTGGCTTGATTTCTCGTTTGATTTTTATCTGAGTCGTTTTTTTCCCAAAAAGTGTCAAATCTGTCACTGTAGCGGTGGTTTGGCGATGTCTCGAATTCAAGAGCATCACGGGTGGGTTAAAAAAAGATGTCTAAGCTGTTCTACTTGCCCCGACTGCTGTCAAGAAGAACTGGAATCACTATACAGAAAGGGCGCGAATGAAAAAAAAAGATAGAGATTCCAAAATGCAAAAGTTATCATTGGTGCGTTTCGATAATA